GCTCCCTGCGATGCCCGCGGCTGAGCGCGATGCCAGGTAAGGACCGGGCGGGCCGACCCCGCCGTTAGGTGCCCAGGCTGGGGCTCGTATCGAGTTTGGAGCTGTGCCCTGCGGATGTTTCTGCTTCCTTGTCGGAACGATCCTTTCACTGTCTCTTTTGGACAGCTGCAACTCGACCATCGCGTTTTTGGAATTGAAATGGCAAAGGATGGGGCAAAACAGAAAGATAAACTTAATTTTAATAAGTTTCAGCAAATATTTTTGGAGGCTTGTGTTCCTTAAAACACAAGTTATTTTACAAGACCGTCTCCTTTCTCTCATCCATATAGAAAACGCGTTTGGTAACTATTTGTTACCGCTTCTTCTGCTTGTCCTCCAGCTTCACTCATCCGTGTTTTTAATTTTAAACTTGCATCAGTTTAAAATTTGAAAAGTTATTTTAAAAAATAACTGCAGACCGGCTGTGCGCTTACCAAAGTGACTGCCTTTAAACTTTTTAAGAGTAAAATTGCAAGTTCTATCATATTTTTGCTGATGCAAGAAAGCCTGGATTATTGATAATAGGAATGCTAATTAACATATATATATATATTTAAATTGATGCAGTTACATAAAGGTTTTTATTGTTAAAAAAACTACTTAAAGGTTGGAAAGCACTGTTATGAAGGAGGAATTGTCGCAAAGTTTTCTAGGTGGATCCCATAGGTGGATCCCTTCGTAGCCTCTCCTTAGTGAATCTTCTTGTCCGCTTTTTCGAAGGAATCATCATGGATAATGTGCAAGCGATGCAAAGGTTGGAAAATAAGTGAAAAATGAGTCGCAGACTGGGTGCTGCAGCCTGCTTTGGGTTAGAGAAGAGCTGAGAAAGGATCGAGAAACAGGCTGGCAGCAGCCCCATCTGCCTCCTAGCGAAGAGGACGTTAAAATAAGACTCAATAACAGGTTTTCGGTGCATTTGTGGGGACAATAAAGGTGGTAACAGTGTGGTCTGCATCTGGCAAGGGTACAGTGAGCCTCTGCTTGGCCACTGGGCAAATTTAGAGCAGTTTTAACAATTCAGGGGAGATTTTAGTACCTACTTCTGGCTTTTCAATTTGAGAGGCTCTGTTTTTCTACAGAATTGTATGTGGTAAGTGCATTGGTTTGGGAGCTGTGCTGCCCAGGTGAAGCGCTATCCCGCGGGTCTCGCCTGGTCCTGCTCGGTCCAGCTTGTGCCTGAGAAGGGCAGGGTCCGGGGGCACCGCTCCTAAATCGCAGAATACTCCTTGTCGGTGGGGAGTTTGTGCTGAATTTTACCGTGTGCAGGTGTTGACTTAGTAACTTACTTCATTTTTGGACTGCTAGCAACGTCTCTAAACACAAACAAATCCCCAGCTCTCCTCTCGGGAGTGCTTTTCATTCAGTGCAGGCGAGGGGTGCGACGCGGGCGGCCGCGTGGAGCTCCTGGAGCGATGCGTAGGTGTCACGTAGGCAACAGCAGCATCTGGGAAGATGGTCCTGGGAGCCGTTCAACCCCACGAGCGCCTGTGTGGGAGCTTCTGTAGGTGCCTGTGGTGGAGGAGCCGGTGCCCACGGGGGCTCCAGACACATCTACCGCTGCCTTTCGATGAAGCGGCGATGCTGGAGAAGCAGGTTTTGTTATAAAGCTTTAGGTTTTCAGCGGGAAACTTGGGAAGCAAACCAGGCTGGATGGGAGCCGGAGCTGGGATCTGCCGGGTGACTCCGAGTCCGCTGGGCAGCGCTCCTGCCCGGGGCGCTCGCCCTGCGCTGGCTGTATAGCCCGTCCTCCCCGGCTCACCCAGCGGGAGAGCTCGGTTAACACTCGGTTAACGCGGGGCTCTGTTCGTCCCCTTGCACCAGAAGCAGCGGCGTCCCCAGCGCGGAACCCCCGGGTGCCCCCGGGAGCTCGGCCTGGCCTGTCCCCGCGGAGCCGCGTGGC